GCTGTTTCTGCAAAGCTACATAGCTGTATGAGTAGTTGCTATAATCTGGTCCAGGTAAAACTTGATGAATATTAGTGGTGTCATCATTTCAGAAGGCTTGATAATATTTTTAAAAATCTTTACTGAGGTTTTATCCACCCTTTATATGTTTAAGATAGTCCTGTATGTAGGCTATCCTTGCAAATCATAGATTTGACTGCCCACTGTTTCTCAATGATTAGTGAAACCAGTCTATCTATACAGTTCATCAGTTAGATGAGGTTTGGCTTGGCCGTCTAGATGTGTGTTTGCTATTAGCTAAATCAGTGGTTTGTGTGTCAAAACCTTCAATGTCTCAGAACAAATTTTAATAAAGTCTAATGTTAAACAATATGGAGAAAGGTAGACTTTCAGTTTATGCATTATCTGCCTAAGTACAGCTTAAAATTTAGTAAAACTTGTTGAAGATTTTCAGTTAAAAAACAACAAATGCTTTTATTTTTTAATAGAAAATGCATGTGGTAAAACTTGTAGGTAAAACATCCTTTTTTTTTTTTTTTTTTTTTTCCAAAGTGATGTGACACAATGTGCTGTATTATTATCTACTCGGCTCTCTCTCATACTTACTAGAACTTGTCTGTGTTGGCAGCAGTTCACCCCAGTTCTGAGGGGAAGACCACTTTATCCACCAGAAATTCCAGCGTGATGTTTGCAGCAGGAGCTGTTAGATTCTCAGGGTTTTCCAAGTGAAATCACTTTAGTGTCTTTAGAAACTGCACTTGAGACTTTTATTTTTGTACGTGTTTGCAATGGAAACCAAACACTGTAAACTTCTGTGCCATGCAGCTAGATAGGATTTTGACTGGACCTCAGTTGGAGCAATGTAGCTTAACCAGTACTTAATGTTTCACTTCATTAACTTCCAGTGATTTATGAATAACACTATTGGTGGAGTCAAGGGGAGTCTAAAAACTTAAGAAAATGTTTGTGGACAGTTATACAGTATGAATGTGTTAAGAATCTAAACTATATGAGTAAACCTATCAAGTCTGACAACAGTTAGGCCCTATCTCATGCTTCTCCCTATTTATGTGTGTCCTATGCATCTTAACAACAATATTGAAATTCTTCTCTCAGATCCTGCCGCTATGTATGTCTAGTTGACCTTGTCTGTTGACCAGCTAAACTCTTGGGGAGTGGAGACTTGAAGCCAGGTGGCAGACAGCAGTGCTGTGCCTTCTAACAGGGCCTGCCCTCAAATGTCACTAGTAACCACGTTCCCCACCTGCATATTGTGTCACAGGATCAGTGCCCTTTCTACAGCCTGACAATTTATCTGCAGTGTGAGATCTCACATGCTGAATGGGCCTGCAGTTTTATTGTCTACAATTTTAGAATAACAGTAGGTTAGTCATTTACCCTGCAGGGAACATAATTTTGGAGGTTTCTTCTTGTTTGGCAGATGGTAGAACCTAAAAATCTTCCTAAAAATTAGGTACTCTAGATTAAACCTTATGCCAAAGTGAGATCAAACGTATAATCACAGTCACACTCAGATATGCTGTGACACCTGAGGCTCCTTAATGATAATATATATGGAATATAAGTGGTGTGTACTAGTACAATCTTAGTCCTGCTAGTATCACAAATCTACATTTGGTCTTCAGATTCCTGCAGTGTATATGATTTGGTTAAAATGAAAGTCCTAATCTCCAGCCATTACCTACAAGAGAAAAATAATAATGTATACATGTGAAATATGAAGCCAAGCCTTTCCCAATGAAAAAGTTAAACTGATGAATTAAGTACTTTTCATATCTATTCCAGGTGATACAGTCAATATGAAGAATTTGCACTATTTAATAATACCTCTTTCTGTGAGTCTTGACTCACATTCGTTGTGGCAGTTATGGCAATGCTTGCTGGTCATAGGATGATGGATTACTGGTATCACACTTCTGTTGAAGGTGTTCTTTTCAGACCTCAGATATGCAGAATACTACACAAAAAGCCATTAGTGAACATTACAACTATGGCTGTAGAATCATTCTTCAGCGTGGGCCATAGACTAGAACACTTTCATTTTCAAACATCTTTTAGTTTTTTTAATACGTAAAGGGTGAAGAATTTTTCATGTTCCTTCAATTCTCCCCTTGTGGCAATAAAAATTGCTGACAAAAGCAGTCTTATTTGTGGCCATTAATTCCTAGTTGTATAAAATCACCTCAACAGGTTTCCATCAAGATTTTTTTCCATGTAGAGGTAGCTTTTGTGTACTCTTTCACTAATCATAAAGGCTGCTTTGGATTTGACTGGACTTACTAGGTCAACAGTCCTTGACTTGGAGAAGATAGTTTTATGGTCTACTGAGAAACCAGTTTTTACGTGGAAATTAACATTTTCCAACCCTTGTTCTTGTATTTAAGGCTATGGTACAAAGTAAAACATACCTGTGTGAGCCAAGGAGAGAATACTAGCCACTTTTAATTTCCTGACTTTTGTTAGCTTGTATTTCAGTCTCCTTATTTAAATGCTCCTTTTGCCTGCATTTTTATAACTTATTTGGAGGGATATATTGGCCAGCTTCTCAGCTACTGTATGCTGACACCAGTTGATCATGTTTCTTTGTCTTTTAGTGTAACTCAGATTCTTACGTTTATGTTGTCTTATTTTTCATGATTTGTAGTATAATTAGGAGTGCCTGGCTTGACTGTTTTTGATGCTTTCTACATATTAACTTTCATTGCCCAGTATGTGGGAATGGAGACAGCATTTACCAGCTCATTAACCTCTTTAAATTGACTGCGGGGTGGATTATTTCCTGTCACCATCACAGGTCAGTGGGTGGATTACACTCCAATGGAATCTTTCTAGAATATTTGAAAAATGCTGAGCTACCACAGTACAGATTGACTGGCATGATTTTTCTAATTTACAGGTTTTTTGGGGGGGAAATCCAGATAAGACAATAGGTTATTGTTGTCATTGTTCTGAAATCAGGAAAGGCAAACGTTTACTAAGAAAACCCCACTAGTTGATCCTGTTCCTCTGCAAAATGTAAATGTTTTATACAGTGTGTTTTCAGGACACTATTAGGAATAGTGTCTGTTTGGACCAGGTTGAAGTGCATATGACTGTGTGGTCTCACTGATATACTTCACCACTAGTAAGCATCCGTCCTGGACCTGTTCTTAGGAAGTAACAAAGTCAGGAAGGGTGGCCTTTGCTTCTCTGTGTCTAAAGTAGTACCCTAGCTTTCACAAAAGCCATATGTACCTAATAAAAGAGATTCACAAACCTTATTTGCTCGACAGTGGACTCCAACAGGGTTGATGCCATCATTTTTTAAAATGTTACACTTACCCCGTCACAGAGATTTGGATAGGTAGGTGATTTTGCAGTTCAGCTGAGCATTTTCAGTCAAGTAGAATGCATCATGAGGAAGAGCTTAAAAACGAGAAGACTCTGGGGTTGTATTAACTACAGCTGGATACTTGAGTTTTCTCTTTGTTCTGTCTGAGTAATCACCATGTAAAGAGCTACTTCGGTGTTACTTTCTGTTAGCTTAGCAGCAGATAGAGCTGGGTGTTTCCAGACTGTAGCCTCAAAACTTCTGAAGTCAATAAAGACTATTGCCAAAGTAAGTCCCAACCAATGAGGAGTGCTGAGAGAGCAGACACTAATAGTGCAGCGATTGAATATTACTTCTGTGTACATGTAGGCAGCACATACATAAAACTTGCTAACAGGTAGCTGAATACTAGGAGATGTTATGAGTCCTGAAGTTAGCAGACCACAAAGCCTTGATATGAGTTGCTAACTCTGTCCAAGCTCTGCAAGATTGTAATGAAAAGACATGAGCAGGCTTTGTGATCAACTTGCAGGTTCATTAATTATAGACACTTTGGATTAATCACATGGTCTCATCATAGAGTGTAATTTAAGATTACAGAGTGCATCAGGAAGAGTGAATTCTGCATTGCACACTGCATAAATGAGATGGATGTCATATATTACCTTTTACAAATTAACCTAATAATGTTGTTGCAAATAACAAGACTTCTGCTGTCCAGGATTCTTACTTGAAGGAATGTCTTTTATTTGTTTGTGTCACCGAAAACCATAGTAGAGATTACAAACTTGAACCTGACTTTTAAAGGTGCTTTTCAAGGTGCCTTATGTAAAGAAACTTACTTGCTTTTACTGAGTGTTATTCACAGGAGTAATAACTTTATTCCACACTTTATTTTGTGGAAGTATGTATACTAAATATGACACTGAATATAGCTTTTCCTCCTGAAAGCTTTTCCATAGATAGGTGTTTGTTTTAACTGAACTGATTACTAAGCTGCTTTTCTCATAAATGTTTACAGCTTCCCTCTACATGGTCAGAAATCTAAGTCCCAGTTCATCAGAGCACTGACACACCTGTACTAATGCTGTGGGTATCATAGCTTGAAGTTAATCAATCTGATATGTGGATACTGAATATCTGCAGCTTTGAGTTTCAGTCATGGTGTTCTGTGCAATTGGCATATTGTCAGAATCTTATACAGTGATTCCAAAGAACATATAACTGGATACTTTTTTTTTTCCTGGCCTTGACATATCTTCAGCATAATGTTATATACTACATATTATGTATGTATTTACATCTCAATTCTGTTCTTAATTCTAAATGTTGCATCCAGGAACTTCTAGTTTTCAGTTGTTAATATAACTACTGAAATTAACTGTTATGTCACAATACTGTCGATATATTATTATTACTATTATTGTTGAAATTATATTTCTCTGTCAATATTGGGACATGTTTGGGTTTTTTTTAGGCTCGCTGGCAAAGTTTTTGCTTGTACAAGCTGAAGAACTGGGTGTTCATGACACTCATTAACCCTCAAATTGTATTGTATGTATTGGTATAATTTGAAAATTCTTAGTCCTTGATTTGTTACTTTGTTTTTAATATGCTATATCATATTACAGTTCACCTATTTTATTTAATTTCCTTTTCTTTAATTCAGGGTTGGGAAGAAACTGTGGATGCTGCCATTTCTTACTTGTTAAGAACTTGTTTGTCAAAGAGTTCTAAGGAACAGGCCCTGACTCTCAGCAGCCAGTTGTGCATGCCCAAAGACACTAGCAGACTGAAGAAGAACATCACCCTCTTCTGTGATAGATTGGCCAAAGGTGGTCGCCTTTCCTTAAGTATAGACTCAGCCACTCAGCAAGCTGCTGTCATGCCAGGTAAGACCTGAAGTATATGTTCACAATTCAAAATATGTATTTGTATATTAAAATTAAAAATTATGCACATCTGATGGTGTTAGCAGTTGGTTTCCACAACAGGTAAAAACCAAAACACTGATTGTGTTGCTGACCTATAGAATGAGTTGGTAATGAGATAATTTTAAATCTAAGTTTTATCTCAATTTGATCACTTACTGCTGCTGAGCAAGTAGTGAGGAGCGAAAAGTCCTACCTTCTTGATAGAGAAATGATTATGGTTGCATTACTGTCTTTATGGCATATGCCTATGACTAATTATGAAGTAGTGATAGCACTGAATAAAAAAATCTGCAACTTTAGAAAGTACTAGTTGGCTGGGTGATAGCTCACAGAAAGCATGAAATTAAAGATGAAGCTAATTTAAGTAGGTGTTGAATAATTTTTCTAATTTGGAAAAGGAATGTAGAGAAGATTTCAGAGTGTTGCACAATGATTTAAATGAATGTCATGGAATTACCATTTTTGAAAGAAATTTTACTCATGTCCTTTTCTATATTCCTACTTCTTTAGTAACAGTGGAAGCAAAGCCACATCTTTTCTGTAGAATCTTAATGCTAGTGTCTTTGTACTGTTGCAAGACATTTTCTTCTTGTCTTTTTTCTTTAGTGAGACAGACAATCTCTTAATAAACACCGGATACTCCTGCTGACTTGGAAGCAGGTTTTTTTACCAGCTTCGTGCTCTGAATTTCGGTTGGATGTTCATTCAGCTTCGTAGTCTCCTAGACCACATAATATCACTATGGTCTTTGGCCTCAATGACCTCTTTCACCTACAGCAGTCTTCACATCTGTAGGGAAAAGTATATTGTATGCATGCTTCATGCTTAAAATTGGGAGTTTATTATTTTGTCTTCATGGGTATTGTTTTTGATCAAGTTTGGAGTTGTGTTAGGGCAGTATCTTGTTTTTCTATATTTGTTTTCTTACATTTCAAATAATAATTTAATTCCTGTTTAATATAATCTGAATGACCTGTGCAATGTTTCAGCAACTGAGAAGTCCTTGTTACTATGTACAGCCCTCCTCTGCATGTGCTACTTTAAATGATTCGGTCAAACAGCTGCAGACTGTGCTGTGGTAGAAACTCTCTATATAATTTTTCTTTAGAGTTACACTATACCCATATCTGGAAGTTTTACAAATTTTTGTTAGTATTTCTTTGCAAGCCTAAAATATGTTAAGGGTATTTTATCTGTTGAACTTTGAAAAGATCATATAGGCATTGTTTTTCCTTCTCAAAATTTTGAAAAGGTGTTAATAGCTGCAGTTCATCTTTTTCCACCTAAGGTAATAAGGTGAATTGATTTAATATGGAAATTCACTTCTGCCTGTTCAATTGACTAGTGTTATTGGGTTCAAGGCACTATGCAATTTGGTTATGATTAATTCTGTTAGGAAAAGAGTAAAATTTTTAAAAATTGTAAACAAATTAGAAGAAATCTTGCTCTAGATGAAGGACCTTGGGAAAACCATCTGGTCTCCACATTGAATATATAAAGACTAAAATTTAAAAAAAACCACTAAACCCACTTTTTTCTATTACATGAGGCCAAAATAACACCAAGAAGGCATGAGTGACATCTACTAGACTAATTTTTACCATTGTGGTACAGGTAGACAGTTATACTACCTCTCAAATAAAAACAATACAAGGAAGAAGTACATTCCAAGCAAAACATAAGATATTTGACAGTGGGCTGTTAGCCATGTTTTGATGATATGTGGGACCAGGTTTACAGTTTCTTATGATGAATAGTGAAAAATGAAGTACCTGTAGGTACCTGGTTGAGACCTGGTATAGCAATGTCCCACCCAACATAAACTCTTTTAGCTATATTTGAAATGCCCTTTGGCCATGACTTACTTTAAAAAGAATTAAAATCTGTAACCCAAATACAGATTCCAAAATAAATAATTTTACTTTCAAAATTGCTGACTCTCATGTGTAGCCCTTTTGAATATCAAATTGCCTAATTAAGAATCAAAATTATGACCCAATTAGGCTAACACTTCAGAGTATCACAAGAAGGTATCATTTAAAGAAATTATAAAACCTAATGTAGCTTTCTTATGGTCACTAAGAGTGCAGCCTGAAGCCTTGATAAAAGGTTCCGTACATTTATATTTACTCATTAACTGTTGAGAGAATATGCTTTTTGAAAAAGTATGGAAGAGCTTCAAAAAAAGAAATCTCACCTTCATTTACAGGACAGGCTCACTTCTGCCAAATGCTTAGAATAGCATAGTGTTTAAATAGTTACTCTCTAGCAGTATGTGCTGTATGCTTTGAAACTTTGTGGGTGTTTGTCTTTGGACAGACTGGAGATAACTGAGAGCTTTCTTGGGAGAATAAAGGTTTTACTGATGCTTTTTAAACATGTTTGTCACCTCTTTGGGTTTTCTTTGGCTATCTCGACATTGGCAGGTAGTGTGGTCTGTTAGAAGCAGATCTGCAGGGGGAAGTAACCGAGCCTGGCAACATGACTTGTATTATCTATGTGTTTCTGAGGCTGTTTGAGCTAGCTCTGTTCCTGTCTGATGTACTGATCCTCCATTAGCAGTTAGAGTGCTTTAGGTGCTTTCCTGGGATTCATCTGCCCAGTTAGATTCACCTAAAAAAACCAAGTTCATGTGCCCAAGACCACTCGTCAGTGTGCAAACAGTGCAGTTAATGGGGATAATAAAGAAATTTGCCTCACTCTTGATTCCAACTACCTGTTCAGTCTACACTAGGAAGAAATGGAGAATGCTGTCTTATAAAGGGGAACTGGTATACAAAATAACTATATGCTGTTGAGTAAAGAGCTCTTTGATAATGCCTATAAAATTGAGGAACTCCTTCTCCCAGTTCTTAAAGGGGGGAACAGGAATAAGTAGAGGAAAATGAGGTAGAACTATACATGGAGAGGGAGATGTTGAGAATTGAATTTGTATCCAAGGATTTATGGTTAAATATTGGATGTTAATGTAGGGGAAAGTTCTTCAGGATGTTTAAGCTCCAAGCCAAGCCAAAGATGGTCCCATAATTATTCAGTAGTGTAGCTGTCATTAGCTTGAGGATTTTGTTCAATGCCACTTTTTCTTAGGCCCATTCTTTTTCTTAATGGTGGAAACTCCTTTTTCTACAGCAACGAACTTTTAAAAAAATTATTTAAAAGTACCTAGGACCCTTCTGGCATTGCAGCACTATAACAGTAAGCTGCATTTCTATAAGCTATATTTAATAGGTTCAAGATGGTGTACCCTGAAATCTAGAGAAATTGCCTGAAGCCACGTCAAAAAGCTGATGATTATCTTTAAGTGTGCAACTATTTGAAAGATACCTTCAGAAGATAGTTATCAGTATTTGTAGTTAATCCAAGAGTATATGTCAGAGGTATGCCATGGTCTCTGCTGGGTCTGAGTTTGTTCATTATTTTCTTTAACAGCTTCAGTGATGGAATATGGAGCATGAATGTTAAAATTGTGGTTTTGCAACAAACTAGCAGTAGTTTCAAGCACACTGAAAGAGCAATAACTCTGACCTTGATAAATTAGGGGAGTGATCTGAAGTCACTAAGATGGTGTTTAGTCAACAAGTGCAAAGGACTCTGGCAAGTAAGAATCAGACAAACTAAAAATTGAGAAATAATTCCATAAGCACTGGTGCCATAGGATTGACTCCTGGGGGCTATAGTGGACCAGCAACTGAATAAAAGTCAGCGATATGATCCCATTAAAGGCGAATTCCAACTTTGGGATGTAGTTATATGACTTTTAATGAAGAGATAAATTATTTCTTTCTGTTATTCATGAGAAAGATTCAGTTGAAATTACAGGGTAACACAGTTTAAGGAAAACTTAGACAAATTGAATAGAGTTCAGAGAAGAGCACAAATATTATAAATGATTGAAACAATTTTGCTTTCTCTTTCGTCTGAGGGAAAGAGAAAGAGAAGGTTGAGGAGGGATATGATAGTTTTCCAGTATGTAAAATGTTCTTAGAAGGATGATTAAAAGTTAATCAGAATCATTGGCTAAATATGTTTATAACTGTAAGCCACATCAGGCTGTATTATGTACTGTGTTGCCTTTGGCAATGTGTAAACGGTTGCATGAGAGGAATGGTGAGGGGCTTAGGCAGTGGTGTGAACCCAAAAAGTGTTGGTCAGTGCCAGGGAAGTGCTGGGGAAAGGTGCTGTAGACCACCCAGGTTGTCATATATTGAGTTTAATGGGTGTGAGAACTTAGAGCATAAATCCTGATGACCTGCAGTGAATTAATTCTGTAGCTTTTAAAGGTCTCTTATAATATCTGTGTGTTTTGCAGGATTGGTTTGAAAACCTTAAGCAGTGTCAGCTGTGGCTGTTTGGAGGCTTGTTCAGGTGTCAGTCTGACTGGAGCTCTATTTGCAGTATTGCCTCACCTATATTTTGGGTATCTCAGCTACTCTTTGGCTAGAATGTGATTCTGCTTTTCCTATAGTAGTTCCTGGTGTGCAAATGGCACCTGTATTGGTTCAACGTTTTGTTCAAGCAAGGATTTTTAATTTTAAATTAGGACTTTTTTTTTTCTTTAAACCATCCTTTTTCTTCTACTTCTTTTTTTTTTAACTGAGCTTCAGTAATTTTTTTCTCCTTTTTGTTTGGTTAGGAGATCTTTGTATTGTGCTTTAGCATGATTTGCTTACACAATTGAATGTAACTGGAGCAGTAGAGAAAATAATATTTTAATGTAAAAATCAGTTACTGAGTACTGTGTCACTGAAATCCAGGGAATGCCAGATTGTCATCTCCTCGGGTCAACTGAATCTTCAGAACTGAAATCAAAAGCAAAAGGAGGAATATTTTGCATCCAGAAAATAGGATTTGCAAATAGTTTTGTGTAAGTGTAATATTTAAGACTTATATAAAAGTAGAGCTAGAAGTCAAGCCAACTGCCCATCTAGTTTTCTCCTCTGTGTTGTGATGGGGTTAGTGTATCCAGACTATCAGTGACAAAGTTTATCTGAATTCTTAAACACCTTGGACAAGGCTGAACAATATCTCTTGATAGCTTATATGGTAGCTTAGTGTCCTTATTGGAAGGTTTTCCTAATATTTGATATATATTTTTTTTCCTGCAAATCAGACTGGTTTATTGTGAATATTGAAGGTGGAGGTGGCAATTAATGATGTTCTTTATAATGGTAAAAGCTTTGGAAGATTTTTAGTATATCCCTTCAGTAACTTTTTCTTTTGTACTAATTGTGACTAAATTATCCCAGTCTTTTCATGATGACTTTCAATTCTTACTGCTTGTTTTCCAAAATGGAATGCTATTCCTTTTGTCTATAGCAGGGAGTATACCCTGCTATACTCTGCTCCATCTCAATCTCCAGACCCTTTCCTATGCATTTGTTGCCAGATGTTTCCCATTCTGTATTTATACATACTATGTTACTTTTCTAAGCATGGTAGTATATACTTGACACTTTGTCTTCATAGCTTTTTTAATTTATCAAGTTGATTATAATTCTGCTTTGTATAATCATGATTCTATCATTCATATTATGAATGGGTAAATGCTAACTTTAAAGACAATGTTCTTTACCACATTAAATATACATATGCACCCAGAAAGTATTCAAAGTCATCCTCTGGAAGAAAAAAGTTTTTCTAGTTTGCTTTTTTTTTTCCTTGCATAAGCTTATAAAAACCTCTTTACAAAATCCTGTACTGATATCCATGAGTGAATATTGCCTATTCTGAAGCTGTGCTTTTAACTGGAAAACTGGGATGCAACAGAATGTGTCATATTCCTTAAGGAACTCTGTTTACATGCTACTAAACTTGAGGAGAACGTCGGGATTAATTGGAAAAACATGTGGATTTGAGTTCCTGGAAGAGCAATATTAATTTTTTTTTATATCTATATAAAAGATATAAACATTGCTGCAAAGTTCTTAGTATACAGAGAGTGTGCTGTAGAGAAAGACTAGTGATAGTTTGTTGGATCTGAAAAAATAGGATTTTTGTTGTTGCAAATTGCTCTCTTACACTGTTAATTATCAGTTCTTCATTGGTCATTAGAGGAAAGGAACAAGCAGTATAACTCAGGTATTCTCAAACTTCATAATGTGGACTTTTAACACAGAATGTCTTGCAAAATGTAGTGCCTGCCATTTGTGCTCACACAGATTCCCGTCTGTCATGGTAATGTTATCTCAGTAGCAACTACAGTAATTTTTTGCCTGGAGAAGTTAGAAATTATTCAACAGTAATTTAGCAGCCCAAAGAGGGCACAGAAATTAGCACCAATGACTAGACAACGCTTTTGAACTACCAGCAGATGTTCTTAAAATCACGGGAGGTGGTTTGAAAACTTTTCCTGTAACTTAAGTATTGTGAGCCTGAGATCATGGTGCATCAGCAGCTTTGTATAGCCCACCATGCTGGTGCAGAGAAGTGTATAAAAATTGCCAATATATTTTTTTCTCATAGATGTGACACAAGTCCAGTGGTGTTTATCTCCACAGAAGACTATGGTCCATTATGAAGTGTGATTCTCACTTAAGATATTTTCCATATGTTGTCTGTAAAAATAAAATACTAAACTACTTTTTTTCCCTTTAGTAACCCTTAAAATAATGCTTTTAGCTATTTTTTCTTATTTTAGTTTAAATATATTGTGTAATCATAAAGCTTTTTAACAATGCTTATTAGATCTCTGTAAGGAAAAGTGAAAGTAAAGTTTCATTCACAACGCTTGCTGCAAGGATTTTGTATACCTCAAGATCGGTCAGTACTGATTGATGGAACTGGTAGTCCACTGAGGTCAGTGGAAACTGTCATTGACCAAATTAGATTCAGCATTTTACCCATGTTTTTCATAGTGTTTCTCACCTGTTTCCACTATTTCCCGAGACAGTACCATTCACAAAAGTGTCTAGAGGACATTGGTAAGTATCTGTGATCTCAGGAATCTAAACCTTAATAAAAGTGCCTATTTCTCATTGAAAGTCAGTTTGCTGAGGAATTTTTTCTTAAATGTACCCAGAGGCTTTTAAAGCACATTTATAAAACACTACATGCCAATTCATTCCTATGGATTTGTTGGCTCAGGCCCTTAAATATGAAATGACATTAACTCACTTTAACTGTTGCAATGAAAACTCTAACTCCTCTTTTCTAGCTTCTATAAAATCATACAGGTTGTATGATTTTAAATCAATAATAATCAATATTAATCAATAAAGTACCTTGAAACACCAGTTCCCCCAGGACTAAGAGTGAAAACATATCTTTTTTTAATGTGTAAGATGATATAAAAAAGACTGAACTCTGCATTTAAACAGAAAAAGAAGATTTTTTTCTTACATTTGCTGGCTAAATTTGTTTAAAAAATATAAATATATGAAGTATAGCTATGTATCACTAAAGTATCATATTGATTAACCTTCATATTCTTAAGTGCTCAAAACTTATAGACATATTTATCGGATTCAAAAATTAATGTATGTTTGCATTTTAACAAGTACATGTTTTTTCTCACTTGCCTGTAGAAGCTGGGGTTCCCATACCCAGATAAAGGTTTCTCTGTGTGAAGTTGTGTACTACTTGCATTGAAACCAAAACAGGTCCATCATCACTGTATGAGTTTTTTCAAACTTCCCATACTTCTCATACTGCCTGAAGGCAAACAAACATTTGGTAAAATGTGTACTTTTTATCTTCTCTTTGTAGTTCTTCCTTCTAGTAAGGCTACCAGTATGGCTCTGCTTTGTTTGGTTTTCTCTGGTTTTCCTCAATAATTTTTTTGCATTTCTCCTCTCTACACTACACTTCAACTGGTTTCCTTCTCCATACTGTGCCTTTTGATGTCCATACAACTATATGTGCAGTTCCTTTACTGTGATAATTGGAGCAAGTAGCTCTATCACTAGCCACCCAAGGGAGTAAATGACTCTGACAGTGAGAGGTAGCAATAAAAGGGTAGAAAGACCCTTTTCCTGGTCAGCTGTCAATCTGGGTGGCCCAAAACAGTAACTGCAGAGAAAATCCTGTGGTACTAGCGTGGATCTATCTGGCAATGTGATTTTAGCAAGGTTCGACAAAGGCGTAATGGAGATTAAATCCATAAACAGCATGATCACTGTGTACTTCTCTATCCATTTTGTGCAGCTCTGCATGGCTGAGCTGTTGTGCCAGTTTAAACATAACTTTCTTCTCTCCATCTAATTGCAGATGATAATCACATGAGGATGATCATAAGAACAAAGAAGTTGCCATAACTCTTACAGCCCTTAGCATTGTCATGCATTTCTGTTACATTGTGTCATGCCAGCTAATAATGAGACATGATATGGTATATAATGGAACATGATACAGCGCTGCAACTTTAACGTGACTTCTAGTTCTCCATGTTTAAAGTATTTTTGCAGAAATTTATCGGCTGTTCATGACGAACAATTCTATCTTAATATAAAAGCCTAGA